AGGTGATTCACAAGCTGCCCCGGAAGACGCTGCTCTCCCTAATGCGAGCGCATGGCCGCAGCCTGGAGAAGGCCGAGGTGGTGGTTGACTACGGAGGAGACAGCTGGTGGCCGTTCGCCCAGGACAACCTGCACTCCGAGTTGGCGCAGTGTGGACTGCAGAGGCTGCGGCGCCTGGTGCTTTCGAGGGGTCAGTGCCGCCCGCGGTCCTTCCAGGAGCAGTGCATCAGTCAGAAACGCGCCGTGCGGCAAGTTCTGCCCAACTGCCAAGTGCTTTGCCATTCATGTGACAAAGTCATGCCTGAAAACTACTGGGACGATGGCTAAGGGCCTTACGAACGAGATTTCGTGGTGGCGTGCAACATGTGGAATGCGTCTGTACGAGCATCGGAGTCATCGTAGCATCGTCGCCAGCTCGCTAATTGAGACATACGGCAATTGTTTCATGTCAGACTTCGAATCTCTTCGACGTCACACGTCACTTGCGCCTGCTTATGATTCAGAAACAACATATAATTAAAGTGGCATATTATTTTAGATTGTTAATTTTAAGCCCCTTTTGTCCAGTATAATTAAAGAAAATTTCATGGCAGTTGCGACGGTTTCCTTCGCGTGGGTACAAACACCATGCACAGTTTTTGGTATCCCACGCAAGAGGGCTCATGGTTTTCGCTGGGAAGCTCTGCAACGCATGAAAATCGGACAAAACATGACCACTTTGAGCCAGTTTGAAGAAATTGCAATTTTTAAGAGTGTAAAATTTAAATGCCAATTCTGAGAACCCCCGCTCGAAGAAAACACCCACCCCTTATTAGAGGTCCTGCGACCCTCAGTGGCAGCCGGTGCCTACCTCGCAGGTGGGAAGGCCAATTTCAAAACACAAATTATCTCGGTACCTACACTCTAAATATGGGGTGCCCAGAAACTGGGCACCTTTGTCACCCAGTCTCGGGGTGGACAAACCATTAAGAAACCTGCCTTCACCCATGGCTCAGCAGCGACTGAGGTGCCGAAGGTGCCCAGAATCTAGGCACCTTGGTCGCCCAGGATCTAGGCACTTGAGCATGCTTTACCATGGGAGAGGGCCGGTTACTGTATTTGTCCAGCCCGAGACTGGGCGACAAAGGTGCCCAGAAACTGGGCGACATTTGGCACCCTAGAAAGTGGGGCGGGCGACAAAGGCGCCCAGTTGCTGGGCACCCCATATTTAGAGTGTAGACGTTTGCACCCACTAGTTCATCGGTGAAAAATGATCTCCAGGGGATGCCCAAACTGCCTACAAATTATTGACACATTGAGAAAACTCATCCTGTTGATTGATCGCGCTACTCAGTATCTTGGACAGGATGCCTGACAGAATCGATTCCCGGCGTTTCTCATGCGGCCACCATTTCCTCCCTATTGTTGCACAGCGCCGGGAAGCTAGGCCACCCCTTCGACACGTCTTTGCAGAGAATTGCCTCGCCCCTTTAAATCGGCTTGCTAGATGGCGGAGTGACTTGCTGACTCGAACCGCTAAAGGTCTATAGAGGCCTAACAGCGTTGATGATGATGAGATGGAGATGGACAGGGTCAGTGAATCACTTTGGTACAAATCTTTGCATTATATATTCTTTTGTAACAAGAACAATGTATCTACAGAATCTGGAAGAGCTGGGCTACTTCAGTCAGTACCATATTCTTAGATTTATTAAATACAGTACATAGTAGCCTGTTCACAACACATTTTTCTCATTCATCTAATTCACACAGGTAAAATTAGTTTTTAGCAGCACTGGCAAGTCACCCACTCGCAAATGTGAAAAAAAGATTATACCATTAGGTTTAACTATTAAATTCAACGATGATTGAGAAAATGCTACAATCTTAGCTTTACCATTTCCGCACTCACCACAGATCAATTTGAGGTGCAAAGTTTCAAAGAAACGGCCAACGTCACGTAAATGCATGTTTTGGGGATATGATGATATGATGAATGATATGGTGAGATTTAAAGGATATGTGTACGTGGTTTATACAAGGCCTTGCTAAAACTACAGAGGCAGTGGCATAAAGTTCCACAATGAATACTGGTAGAACTTGTCACAGAGGCAACTGTTTCAGTTTTGCTAGAAGCACAGATTATCGAGCCGTTTTTCACTGATACCAATAAGCTCAGTATTTAGTTCTTATACTGTGGTCTTTTTTGCGTCATCCTTCATACTATACATACATTTACATTTGTTTGTACAAAAGAAAAAGACAAGAAGAGAAACTTAAAATTATAGTAAAAATAACAACTGCCAAGCAAAGGCAACCAAGCACAGAGTAAATGAATCACTACATGGATGTATTGCACAATAGAATACATATATTCTACAGGAACTGAAAAATTGTTTTTCACAATTAGGTTTCAAAACCTGTTCAGACAGTAAGAAAATGTTATAATCTACGAAATAATGGTTTTCCTCCTAGGGCTAATCCTGAGTCCTGATTGTCCAATAAACTACGAATGCTAAAACCAAACATCATTCATTCTAATCATTCATAATCAAAATTGCTTTCACTCCACAGGAATAGATGTATCAATTTTATGAATCGATACTGTTAGCATTTTCAGTTAAGTCACTTATTAAGCTCAGATTTAAACATAACATAGCTTGAAGTTCATGTTAAATAATATTGTTTAAAAGTTAATCATCATTTGTTTTCATCTTCAGTTTCTTTCTCACTTAATGAGACATCTTCTTCTGTGCCAAGCACACTCACAAGTTTGGACAGTTCTTTACTTAAGTCTCCTGTAAAAGATTAAAATTCAGACTTTAACAAAGCAACTGTAGGGATGAAAATTCTAAAGAAAAAATAGAGAAGTAAAAACGGACAAACTGACAATTTTTGTTTCATAAGAAATGTTTGTGACAAATTTACTTAACAAATGATCATACAAACCTTTTAAATTCTCCCTGATCCTATAGAAAGCAGAAGAAAAGAAAACGGAAAAAAAGTTAGAAACATGTTACTAAACCCATTGTTAGAATCAAAAAGAGAGTAAGGGAACCAACAAGTCATGACAACATTTCTTTAATTTAGAAACTGTGGACAAGGAAATTTATAGAATCCCACAACTTATTACGTATTAAAACAACAAAAAAGAGAAAAAAAAATTACACACCCATAACTACCGTAATGGTCCAAATACAAGTCCCCGTTTTTTTTTTGTTTTTTTTAAATCAGGCTTTGAAAGTGACGGGGGGCTTATATTAGGGGTCTGTTTAGAAGGGAAATTATGGGGGATTTTTTTCCATATTTGGGCTCTAAAATATTATCTGAGGGGGGCTTATACGTTTGAGAGGCTTACATTCAGACCAATACAGGTAGCAATGTTGGTTTTCTCATGCACAACACGTGCTGGTTAGGCTTTTTAAGACAGTAACCAATAATTCAGCACCAGTTCCACTAGTATAGTGCAGTTGGTTCCCTTAATACAGTATAGTGAAAATTGAAAGACGTATCATGGCCCAAATCCTCAATACACCATAGCAACAGATCGTGCGATAACATAAACTTCACTAAGGCTGTTAGAAATTGAATTATGAAGCAGCTGGAGGCTGTTATGTGAAGGTCTAGCATTACTGTAAGAAATAACAGACTGCCTGTACATAAATGATGCGAAACTGTACAGCACTTGCATTAACACGTTTTATTAGAAATAGTTATCCTTAAAGCAGCATACTTGCAGAAAGCATGAAAATGTATCCCACCTGCCATGTGCAGAAGATTCCCTACGTTGTGAGCACCTGGAGGAGGGGGTGGCGGTCTGTAGTCTACTCGATCTAGGCTCCCCCGTCCACCATCCCAGCGGCTGCCTACATGCCACGCAAGACACAAGGCAAGACAAGACAAGACAAGACAAGATGTCAGCACGGACAAAGAACCCAAAAATGCAAATTGAAATAACAAAAAGAACGGAGAATCTTCATGCAAAGTGCATGACAAATGTGAAAAGAGGGCATGGAGTTCTTAGTGACATAGGGAGATGAGCATGCCTGCAAATAGTGCCATCACAGAGGAAAACCCATTAACCGAGTGAGACAGCACAGCATAGACCAAGGTTCACCATAGGAAAAGCTTTGTGAGGCTTGCGGGAAGAACAGAACAGTGACCATCGTGTTCTGTATGTTCATTTGCTTCAGTGTACATTAATCCGTGATTTTCCAAAAGGAAAAAACTGAAACTGAAAAATGGTCGGAAAAATTACCTGCTGTTTCGTGGTAGTGCCCATTCATTTTGGCAGGAGAGTCAGTGGCAAGTTGAGAGGCTGTGACAGATCTGGTTTGTAATGTTCCAGTCTTTGAAGGAGAGTTAGCATTTGGCTGTAAATAGGGAAAAAAATGTTAGAAGAAGCAGTCAGCTTTTAATGTAAAGAAACACATCAAAAAAATTGAAATAAAAGCATGATTTAAGGAGAACAAACTTACTTCATTGAGCAATTGTCTTAACTTTTGCAACTGTGCTTCAAGTTGTTTGTTATGATCTTCTAGGATTTGCATGCGTGCCTCAAGCCTCCCCTTATGTTGTCTCAGTAACCGAGCTTCATTAGCTAGTTCAACATCTTGGATTCGGTTGCCTTCATCAGGTGTTGATCCAGGAGTTTGTTTTGTGCGTAATCTTTCATATTCTGCCTGTAGGGAAGCATTTTCCCTCTCCAGTTCCCTGCAAGTAACGTAAAATAAGACCTTAAAAAATGTTGTTATTGCCATATTTTTTGCAGAGCAAGAATTAGAAAATAGACACACCTGAGGTACTTTTCAAGCTCCCTACGCTGATCTTGATCAATTGCCTCCATTATTTGCACAGGACTGCGAGGGACGGGCATTGGTTCTACTCCATTCAGAGAAGTGATTATTTCATGAATGCGAGAGTGCTCGTCCAAGTTTCCTTCCATTTCCCCTTCCCTATAACACAGTTTTATGAGGATTCGTTTATAATGTGAGAGCATCAGAGGGAAGTTTAGAAAAATTTACATTTAAAAGAATTAAAATAAAAACAAAAGACCATTAAAATCTTTACACAAGGTTATGGTTGAGCCCACTTCATTTATTATGTGTGTATTAAAAAGCATTGTAGGACTTACGAGTCAGGGGTAGAGTTGCTCCTAGGTCGAAGTTCGACTTCAGCTAGCCGTGTGGCATACATTTCAAGACGGCTGTGAACATCATGATGAGCACCATGTGCTGGGCCTGGATGAGTATGGTGACCTGACATGATGCCTGAGTGCTGGGGGGATGGTGCAGGACTTTCCAGATTGTCTCCTTCAAGAACAGTTTGTACAGGCAAGTAGCCAACCCTAGGATGTTTCTTGAAGTATCTTTTTGATTTGAACTTGTTTCTAAGGGCACGTGTAAAGTCCCTAACATCTTCTCCTGAAGTGGTCTACAAGAGTAAAGAGAAACTCAAATTAGAAACATTTGCCCACAGGGCTATTGAACTTGGTTGAAGCTGAGATCAAAAAGAAACTACTTACAGCTGTGCAATACTCTTGCATAGGATGAGTGAGCTTATGATTTTTAGCTTTTCTACCAGAGAAAAAGCAGTTCTGGCACATGTCAAAATTGAAGCATTTCAAACAGCGATACCTATAATCAAAACAATAATAATTTGTATGATGGAAAACAATCGGATGTGATGTTTGACAGTTTATACACAAGATTTTAGAATTTCCATAATTTATGTTTAACACAGACAAGAGAAAAAAAAATAACTGAACATACCTAAATCCAACAATTGGATATTCCTTACAGATGTTGCATTTGGCTTGATGTTTGGCTGTTTCAGCAGCAGAAAGGCGGTGTAGGACTGGGAGCCACACCATACTTTGTGGCTCTTGCTGCAGCCAGCTCAAGAAATGAACAGCTTCGATAGTTTCTTTGTCTTTACCAGCTTTTTCAAAACAACTCCGCACTGAAGGTTCAATATTTGATCCACCAAAAGCAGCGACTTCTCCAAGTTGTCGAGGAACTTGTAAGCAATCATGAAGGAGGAGACCAAGCTTACGTTGGTCAACAAGGCGAGCAGGGTCAGCAATCAGGCGGAACAAATCTGTAAAAATCCACAAGCTGGTGAGATCAATCATACTCAATGTAAGAAAAGAAAGAAAAATCCATAACAGAGAACTTACATCTGTACTTTTCTTCAAGATGTCCCTTACTGAGCAGGACGAGCCCAACCTTGAAGGACAGAACTCTTATCTGACCGGTTCGTTGACTGCAACAAACAAAAATATTTTAGCTCCTTAAGAACTGAAAAACCTAATCAAACAAGTTAAAGCCAACTTTGACCCTACCTGTCATAAACGTTGAGCATCCAGTTGAGTAGTAAATCCAGACAGAGAGGTACAATAACAAGGCCAGGATGCTCTTTTGCCATTTGCTCATACACAGAATGGAGTACAGTAATCATGTCTGATACATCAATTAGTTTGTCATTTTGAGCTCGCAGACCATGGGAATCAAATGCTTCAATAGCAGTTGACAAACTCAACAAATCCACTGAAACAAAAAAAAGAAAAATTCCTTTCAGTTTCCTTTTACGAAGGAATGATCTGACACCATTCAAATCGAAAAATAAAATGAACTCACAGCACATGCTTTTCTGCACAGCCCGAAGTTTCATAGCAGTTCGGTAGGCAGAGAAACGAACTTCATTTAATTCTGAAAGTGAATTCATTAACTCCAACATTTTGGGATGGTCCCAATGTGTTGTTTGAGTATGGTGGCTGTGAAAAGAAAATTAAAATTAAAACATCAAGCAATAACCAAAGAAGAGATTAAAAATATTTAGATATACTTCAATTTTTCAAATACTTACTTAATATAGTAGGGCACCTTGGTGTGACTGACTGCTCGCTCCCAAGGCGTATCAACAGACTCGGTGAGGAAACTATGGTTTGGTGCTCCACCTTCTTTGCCGACATCGCTCAACTGTTTGTAGCGTTCATCGACGGCAACTTGAAGCAGCTTCCATCTATGTCAAACAGCCAGGAGACAAATGTTACAAACCAGTATCGTACATGATAAAAGAATCTGAATTCATTCACTTCAGAACTAGATTGTTGGTAAAATAAAAATAATTTCTGTCTTTAAGTAAGACACAGTACCTTGTATTTAATTCTTCTTGTCTCTTCAAACTATTGGCGGATATATTCACATTGTTCAAAGAAAACATTGCTGCTTGGTCATTTATGTCTTCCACACTTCTCTGAATGTTTCTGAGATGTTCCCCAAGTTTCTTTTTGTAAAAGAGGAATAGCAGTCAATTAAGATGATAAAATTGAGAATAATGAGAAAAGATAGACTGGTCAAGAGCTTACCTGGAGTTGATCCTGCATTTCATTTGCTTCAGCTATATCCATAGGTGGGAGCCAAGACTTTTGAACCGATTCGACAGTAGACATTCTAGCAGAAAGTTCATCCAAGTTCTTCTGGAACACACGCATCCTCTGCAAAACAACACAAATAAAATAAATAAATTAGAGAATACCAAGTTGAAAATCAGCAAAGAAAATCTGCAATAACGGTGAAGTTAAGAAATGCAAAATGATAACAGAATTCTACACATCACACAAACACACACATGATGTCATCTACTTTGAAAATCAATACATGCAAGCTCTAATTAAATGACCTCACACAGAGACTGGAACAAATTAAACACCCTGTGAACACAAATTATACTGAATATAATGATGATTAACATTATGATTACTTCCTGCAAAAGAAGATTTATCTATTTAATATCGCCAGCACTGTAAAGAAAAAAATTATTAACAGAAGTACCACTTATGTCAGGAAGTGTAACAAAGAGGTATAAGTAATTTTTTGGACTAAGATTTTGTAGGAGAAAAGGAGAACGGATCCACAACCATGCAAGATACCCGTCGCTTGATGTGCAGAACAAAGAAAAATCAAGAGGTTATTTTTTAATATAAAAGTTAAGGCAACATTCATTTTTAGAAAATAATCCGACCTGAAATCTGTGGGGTTAAAGTTCCTCGAGTTCGACGCTCTTGGCTCTGAGCCCAAAGCATGAGCTTAAATCAACCCTGGAAGCCTCCTCGCTACACTGCTCCAGAGCCTGCCGGCCCTGCCCAGCACAGCACCCAGATGGGCGTACAATGCGGGCCCTGACGGGACGAGAAGGAGGAGTCGAGACTCGCGAGCCTTGCCGTGCTTGCCGCTCGAGCAACAATCCTTTTGCCCCTTTGTCTGGCAACAACCCGTATCACCCCTAGCCCGACGCATCATGCCGCGCCAAAATTCGCCGGGCGCACAGGGTCGCAAGTAAGCATCCCCGTAAGGCTAAATAACGGTGACCCTTCTCTTCAAATCCAAGTGTCGGACAGTCAACCGAAATGTCTCACGCTTCCAAGTTTGTCCCACGCTTGAAACTGTGGGGACCCATGGTATGGAACCAAATGGAAACATAGGCAGTAAGTTAGTGTATGATAAACCGCGTCTCGCACTTGCAAGTGTGGGAAAAACGTGGCACAACACACTCGTAAGCGTGAGGGCTCACGCTAAATAGAGGTATACTGTCCAACACTTCGATTAACAGTGATTTACAGTAATCGCGACTCTATCTCATCGTAGGAAATGCTGACGTGTCTCCACCGTCCTGGACCCGAAATGGCATGCGATCAGTTGTGGTCTGGCCCGTAATGGTAATGGAAATGGAGGATAGGCTAACCCGCAGAGCACTGTTGCATAGGATTGCCTACCCACAAGTCCACAGGCGGCCACTCATACACCGCGTAGTACAACTCGAACACCGCACCGCACATAGGGTGACCTTTGAAAGCAAGTTGGTTTCCAGAAAGCCCCCCCCCCTCTCCCTAGTCGCTGGGTCCTCTACCGCGGCTTTTCGCTCCGCCGGCCATTCTTTCTCCCTCCCTCCTCCTGGCACAAAACGTGGCGGCGAATTTTAAGAAAGACACAAAATATTCGCTGGCGGTGATGGTCGAGTCACCAGCAGCAGTTGCAAGAAATGAGGGCGGCTGCCGAGGGAAGTGGAGAGGGCCGGGGGGAAGTCGGGTGGAAAAGGGAGAGAGAGGCGGCGGCGGGGGAGGAGACTCATTGTGAGGCACAACGCAGATGGGCGGGGAAGAGTGACCGATTGAGCGCGGCGGCGGTGCCAGCCAGGCAGGCAGGCAGGCAGCCGGCGCGGCCCGGTTCGAATGGACCAAATGTGACCACTGTGCGACGGACGCGGAAAGAAAGAAAACGGAGGGGGAGGGCGGAGAAGGGGGCCCCTTTTGCGGAGTGTCATGTTCAAGAGGAGCACGGAGAAGCGGGCAACGACAGGGAAGGAAAAACGTGCCGTCAGTCCGGCCCAGACTACGAACCGACGCAGACAGACAGACAGAAGGACGGACAGACAGACAGACACAGACAGACAGACAGCGAGGCAGCGCGCATCACTCCGCCCCGTATTGGCCCCCCTCATTGTTTCTCTGCCTCCATTCACAAATACAATTGGCGCCGCGCTGCGCTGTCGTGGAGGGCTGGTTGGCCTAGGCGCCATCCCCGGCCGCCCCCGCGTGGGGCGTCCCTGGATCGTCCCTACGACGCCCCCCCGCGCTAACGCCATCACTAGTCGAGTCCCAAGTCTAGTCCACTTTTGGCGCAACTTGGTGTGCGGCGCGAGGCATGAGCCCCGGCCGGCAGCCCGGTAGGCCGTCAGGTCGGCGTCACTGCGTCACCTACGTCTTCGGACTCCTCCAGGGGCTCCGGCGAGTCCGCGGCAGAGAGGCCCGCCAAGCGGGCCGCCCCGGCGAAGCTGCTGGGGGAGGCTGATGAAGAGTACGGCGTGGTGCCGCGCGAGGAGTTGGAGTACGAGGAGAAGGAGGCGACCCCCACGGGGCTCGGCGGTCCCGAGCTGCTCGTCGAGCACGGCCCCCCGGCCCCCAGGGCCCCGGGCCCCAGGGCCAGCCACTCGGCCTCCACTTGATCGAAGACCGGTGCGCCGGACGCCGCGCCCGGCACCGAGGACGCGCTCCAGAAGGGGTCCGAGAAGATGGACAGAGGGTTGACCTGCAGCAGGAGACAACGAGTCACGGACGAACAAACTCGAGGATTTTAGGCTCCTTTAGACAACGTTTGTTTTCGTGCACGCTTAAAATCTTAGGAAGTATTTTGAGCGTACCTACATCGTGCAAACTAATGCACTTTGTTAAACGAAGAAATAGTCCGTAAATTGCGAAGTATTTTCTTTGTACGCTATGTACATATGCTGAAAATACTTTGATATGACAAGGTGCTTTTCTTCGTAAGGCCTAAAGCAGTTTGTAAGGTTTTCAGAGAGTGGCTAACTTGACAAATTTTTCAGAAGAAATAAAGTCTGAAATTAAATTTCAAAGTTTGAAATTACATTTTGAAGTTTGAAATTTAATTTTGAAGTTTGAAATTAAATTTAAAAGTTTGAAATTAAATTTCGAAGTTTGAAAATTATATGTTAGCGTGCCATCCTGCAACTCTGGGAAGGCGCGACCAGAAAGTCAGGCAGCTTTCCAAACGTCGCCGCGACAGAGAGCCTTGCCTTCGTCGCGCTCCCTCTCTCGCACTTCTGCGGAATGGCCCACGAGTGCGAGAGAGACAGCGCGACGCGGCGCGACGCCTCAGATTGGGAAGACTAATTTAGTCCGCCGCACACGTGTCATGTGCCCGGCCAATCCCATGACGCCCTTATGTTGTTCTACGGCTCAGAGAGGCGCGGAAAAAAACAAAACACACCGCCAACAATTTTTTTTTTTTTTAGAAGTGACACACAAACGCGAAAAAAAAAGAAGAGTGAAAAGTGGGTCTGCAGACTTCCAGAGAAGCTTTGAGACGGAAATAGGGGTTCTCATCCGTCGCGTCTTTGCGGTTGGCGCTCTAGCCCGCATCCGCCGTGAGCGGAGACTGTGTGGAGCAACGCGTGCAACACATTTTTTTTAAAAGACGTGCTTGAGCAAGAGAGCGATGCAAATTTTAAAGCGACGAATACTTGGTATCAAGGAAAATGAGGCAGTGGTACTTAGCGCCCGCACGTGCATAAAGATGCATTCAATTATTTTTGTAAAACAAATTATGTTGAAATGAATTTTGCAAATCAGACGGGGCTATTATCTTCGAAACGAAGCGAGGTAAAGTGTTCGCTCACCTTGTGGCCATCCTCCCCGTTGTCGGTCGTCCCAAGATGATGCTGCGCGGACACCATCATGTCCTAAGCAGCAAGAGCAAGGCTCGCAGCGAGGCCGGTCCTTCGCCACCATCACATCGCCTACACCAGGCACTCCGCGAGGCGCTCAGGCCTCCCCTCCACTGTAAGACACTCGATGACACCTTTAGCACTTCAACGACACGCACTGCAATCAGGGCGGCGATGATGAACGGTCCCAGCAAGCACTGAAGTTGGACAAGGACGGGGAACAGGGATACGTAACAGCCTCCTCTCAATAAATAATAAATTACGGACTAATCGGGGGAATTCGTCCGGGTGGGGGACCCGGCCGCAGTCGCTCTCTCTCTCACGCACCACCACGAGACGCACGACGAGTGCGAGAGAGACAGAGCGACTCTCTGAAAGAGTCCGTGGCCGGGCCGGTCGTCGGAGACGCGATCGTAAATTTGTCATTGGCGCATAAATTTGAGGCAAGGGGCGACGCGCGCTATCGCTGTATGGCCGGCACGGCCGTCCGTCGGCTGTTCCAAATTTGGGTAAAGAAGGGACGAACGAGGAGGACGCGGGCCGGGCCAGCCTAGGCCAGCCCGAGCGGAACGGAAACGAGATGAGACGCTTATAAGGACTGCCCGCTTCCGACACACCCACTGTATGCGCTACGCTGCGCCGCCCGGAACCGCCGCCAGTCCGAGCCAGTCCGCCGGCACAGAGTGGGTGGGGGGCACAATCACTGCGCCGCACAGCGTCCAGTGGGCTGGTTCGCCGTCCCGTCTCTCTCGCACCCCTGCAGAACGCCGAGCGAGTGCGAGAGAGACAGAAAGACGCCTCGAGCCCCCCATCGCACAGTGGGCCAGAAGACCGGTGGAGGCGGCCAAAACTCTACACGCTTTTCGAGCTCCAGAATCGCTTAACAGGACTCAAACCGAACGTGTGACCCCACCAATGGATTGCTCGTTCGGAGAGCAATCCATTGGTGGGGTCACACGTTCGGTTTGATTCCCATTCAGCGACTCTGGAGCTCAAAACGCGCCTAGCGTTTTGGCCGCCTCCACCGGTCTTCTGGCCCACTGTGCATCGTGACCGTCCGGCTGCCCGGATGGACGTCGGACGGACGCCCCGATCGCCGTCTCACTTGCGACGTCACGGACGGCCACGCATTTCAGCCCGGATCAGCTGTCTCTCTCGCACCCCGACGGGGCCCTACGGCGAGTCCCTCGAGTGCGAGAGAGACGGAGCGACGAGAGCGCTGTTCTGAATCCGACGGACTGGACTCCATCCGGC